CACAGGACAGGGGTCCTGTGGCAGAGACACAGGGTAAGAACCACAGAGAAGGCTGTCCCCAGTTAGGGAGGGGGAAGCCTGGCTGCAGGAACACGCTGCAGGCTGGGACTGTCCCCTGCATCAGCCTGAGGGTACAACATGGGTCCCTTCCCACAGCCCCTTTTTCCCTTACTGGGATATGCTGGGCTCCCTTTGAGTGGCTGGAAACCTTCTGGGTGAGCTGGGACCTGTCAGCTCCCCATCCATCCATCCATCCATCCATCCATCCATCCATCCATCCACCCATCCATCCATCCATCCATCCATCATCCTTGCTTGTCACCAAGCACACACAAATGTGAAAGGCTGGGAAGTGGCCAAAGTGGGGAGCTCCCACGTGAACTAATTGGTGCTTATTGACTAATTGCTGATGGATGCTGCACTGGGGACCTGGATCAGCATCAGGCACTGGACAAGAGCTGTCCCCTCCCCTGGAGACCATCCTGCTTCAGCACCCCCAAGGGTACATGGGGAAAACCCCTTGTGCTGAGGCCTGCAGCCCTCAGAGTCCCTCAGGCAGGGGGGGTGTCCCCAGGCAGGCTGGGGACAGGGACAGTGATGTCTGGTCACTGAGAGCAAGGATGGCTCCTGTCCCGGTGCCACCCACCCGGCTGGGCTGGCCTTACAAGGACAGACACAATTCACCTCCCCCTCTGCTTCAGATGCCACCATTCCCTGCTCTGCCAACAGGAACTGTCCCCACTGTGCCCTGCAGATCTGCCAGTCTGGGAGGGCAGCCAGGCACCCTCAGCTGGTGCTGTTTTGGGGAGCAGTGAGGGATGCTGGGTGAGCTGTAAACACTGCCCCACTCCAGTGTATCCCAGCCTCATCCCACATGCCATGGCAAGCATGGTGGTGCCACTCCGAGCAGCAGGGACCCCTCCTTTAGGGAACAGAAGCCTCTCCTCTGAGAGCTGAGCCACATCTTTCAGACAATTCTCAAAGCCTCTTCCCCTCCACAGGGGCTGTGACAGGGTCTCTACACCCACTGCCTGTCCCTGGTCAAGCATCCAGAAACCATGGAAAGCCTCCCAGAAGAGCAACCTGGAGGATGCTCAGCAGATTTGGGGCTGTAAAAGGCAGATGGGTGCTGGACAGAGAGGTCTGATGGGTCTGGGGTTACAGGGCAGGGGGGCCTCAGCTGGGTCCCTGTGCCCATGGCCCAATCTCACTGAGCCAGGCACAGGGGATCAGCCACGAGTTAATGGCACTGGGTTTAACTGTGGCTGAGCCATCTACATGCACAGATGTCTCAGGGAAGGCAAATCCCCAAAGGCACATCTCAGCCTCTGAGCTGCCTCCTGCCAGTGCACCCAGAGAGGTCAAGGTGTCCCTGAGCTGTTCCCACCTCTGATGGGGACAAGTGGCATTTGGGAAGGCAGAGCAGCACAGCCAAACTTTGTCCCGTGAGCCAGGACCAGCACAGTCCCTGACTGGGACACCACAGGGACATCAGCTGGGACGGCTCTGCCTCAAGGAAGGTACCCAAGCCCTGGGAGGAGTTTGGGGCTACCTGGGGCAATCAGCCACCACTTCAACTCCAGGAGCAAGCCCCTTTTATCCTCTGATACCCGGCCCTTGTCCCTCCCTGCCTCGCTTCTCTCTTTTCAGCTACTCTGGTTTACATAATTAAAGCCAATTTGTTATAACAACCTCTTAATCCTCTCTGCCCCTTTGGGTGCTGCTTCCTCTCTCCTTCATCACTGCTGCGTTCAGCATCCTCACAGAAAAGGGCAGAGGGTCCCAGGGGCTGAGGAAGAAGCTCCAGGCACTGTTCTGAAAATGGGGTGTCCAGGGACCACCACACCTCTCCATCCCACTGCCAGGTCCCAGTGGCTGTAGCCAAATAAATTATCAATGCATGCCTGCCCCATGCCAAAAAAATCCCCTTGGAGGGGCCACAGTTCAGCTGTGACAAAAGTGACTCTTTCTGAGTTTTCAGCCCCAAAGCGGCTGAAAGCACGACTCCCTCTCCCATCCCCAGGCGGCACCAAAAGTAAGTTCATTGTTTGAAAAGCCATCAGTCAAGGCTTGCTGGCTAAAATTACCCTCCTGCTTTATCATCTTGAGAACATTAAGGGCTGTTGTTAACAGATGTTTCGCGTTACACATTATTTGTTAGTCTAATGAAAGGAGGTGAACAAGCTTTCAAGACCTCAGAAGTTGTGCCGAAGGTTTTCGATGGGAGGCTGTTGCACCACTCCAGGGGAGAAGGAAGATGAAGATGAGGATGTGAATGAGCTCTCGCCACCCTGTTGACTTTTCCTTGCTCTTGCCTGGCTTGTGGGATTTCTGATTTTTGGGTGTCATGAGAGCAATGTGTTACACAGATATTTGTATTCACCATCCCGGGAGGATGCACTAGGGACACTCAGGGCCAGTCTGGGGCTGTGGCCAAGGCAGGGGCTGAGCAGCCTCTTGGCTGGAGAGGGAGTTGGGCATGGCTTTGGTCCTCAAAAGTGCCAGCAGGAAGGGATGTGCCAGCCCTGCAAGGCACTCCTGGAGAAGAGGGGTGCCAAGGGCCCCAGACATGGGGCTGCCTCCAGCCACTCTCTCCAGCAGGCAGGGCTGTGGGGTGGGTGAGGTCAGAAGGGGGCTGAATCCCCTTCTGCAGAGAATAAACCCCTGCCCTGAGTTTCTCTGGCTATGCCACCCACCAAAACCTCTCACTGCTGCTTCCCTGGGAAGGCGAGGGGGTTTTGTCGGGGTCGCAGCCTGCTGGGCACAGCCTGGGGCTGCCTGAAGCATCCTGGTGCCAGCTCTGCCAACGCAGCCCCCAGCCCACAGTGAGCCCTGCCTGGTGCAGGGGTACCAGCAGCTCCAGGGCTGCTCTTCCTCCAGCCCCCAGCACAGCGACCCTGATGGCTCCTGGCTGGAGCTCAGAGCCACATCCTGCAGAGATGCTGGGGCACTGTGTCCACTTGTGTTCATAACAAACCCACTGCCACCAGCTGCAGGGCTCCAAACCTGCATCTGGCAGAAAAACACCACGACGGTGAAGAGGAAGATGAGAGAAAACGCTGAGAGGCTGTTTTATTTCAGGATGCCAATAAAAGATAAGGTTACCAGTAAAAGTTCCTCTGCTGTCATCACACTGATGCTGAAAGCATCACAGATCTGGAGTAAAAGGCTGATGCTCACCAAGGCAGGACATTTGCCTGATATTTCGAGTCTCCCCATCTCAATTTAGGCAACTGCATCCCAGTTAAGGCAGTGACAGCAGGTAAGGGTCTCAAAGGTCCAGCTTTGTGTGTGCCCAGGTTCTTGTCTCTGTTTCCTTGTTCTCTTACTGCCCACTGCTCTCAACTCCCAGGTATTTTTCAACATCAGAAATGCTTCAGCTGCTGATCAGCTTGTCAGAGCATTCCAGATGCTGGTGGTGTCTCCATCCATGCAAGCTTGCCAGAACAGGTGCTAATGGGAAATATCTCACATGGGCCAGCAGTGCTAGGATATGCAGACCAAACCCCAGGGCCCCTGCCCCAGCAGGAATGGGCTTTTAGGGTGAAGAATAGGCTTGTGGTGATCGTGCAGCCTCTCACTCTGTTTTTTTGCACCATGCCGGGTCCACACGAAGTTCTTTGGGTGCATTAGGAGCCCACCAGGGCGGCAATTTCTCTGCTGTTCTGCGAACAGCCCAGCGGGACTGCTGCGGGCTGGGTTTCCAAAAGCTGCACAGATCCCACACGGAATATTGTCCCCCTCCAGACCCACAGGCAGGAGAAACCCTCCCCACAGCCCCAAAGCCACTGCCAAAAGTACAAACAAAGCCCAAGGGAAAGCGAGGGAGGGTGGAAAATAACACTGCAAATACCAGATACCATCCCAAAAAGCAGCGCCCAGCCTCAGCCAGCCCTCAGCAGTGCAGGCACAGCCGGGGGCTCAGTGGGGCTGCTCCATGAAGGAAGGAGCTTGTGCAGGGAATGAATTGTTTGGAGACAGACCTGCATGCAGTGTAGGAGCCACGGGAGGGGACAGAGAGAGCACCCGGGGGGGACTGAGAGGACTGAGCCCCCTTCAGCAGCACAGATTCCCGGCTGGGCTGTGCACCCTGGTCAGGAGCGGGTCAGACCCTCGGCAGGGCTGTCAGCACCCCAGGGCTGTAGAAAACAAGCCTGGGGTAGCACAGCCCAGCCGGGAGACAGTTTTGGGGAATGCCACCGCTTGGGGAGGCACCCCCACTCCACGCTCTGCCTCCCCCGTGTCACCTCTGTGTCCCGAGGGGACACCGGCTCCGGGGGCTCCGGGGGCTCCGGGCTGTTTCTGCACCGGGGCTTTGCCCCAAGAATGGGGCGAACCCTCCTCACCCCCGCCCCTGGACCGGAGCGGGGATGCGCGGGACCGGCGGAGCCAGAGATACGAACGGGACTGTCCCGTTAAAAACGCGCCTCCAGCCAGGACCGAGCGCCATGAAGCCGCGTCCCGGGCCGGTCCCGTTCTCCTCTCCCAGCCCTGGTTCTGTCCCCGCTGATGCTGGACACGCGCAGCTGCGGCCGCCGGGACGGGACCCGCTGGTCCCGGTCCCCACGGTCCCGCCGGGCCGGCCCCGCTCCCCGCGCCCGGAAACCGAGACCGGGAGCCCCGGGGGAAACGGGGACCCCGCAGGCCGCGCAGTCCCGGCACGGACCGACTTCCCGGGAACGTCCCGGACCCGACACCTCCGGTACCGGCGAGGAGGCGGCCGGTGCGGGGTCCCTGTGCCGCCTGTCCCGGTGCGGGGTCCCTTTCTCACAGGGTCCCTCTGCCCCAGCCGTCGGGGGCTCGGCACCCTCGCAGCTCGCCCCGACGGGGCTCCCCCCTCGCCTCCACCCGTTCCCCCAGTTCTCCCCACCCCGGCGCGGGGGGACACCGACCCCCTTTGTCCGGGGTGCTCGCCCGCGACACGGGGGACACGGCGGGGACACCCCAGCCCCGAAGCTGCCCCGTCCCCGGGGAGCCCATCCCGGCCCGGCGGGACTCACCGTCCTGGGGCGCTGCCTCGCTGCCGCTGCTGCCTCCCGACGGCTCCGGGATGGCCTTGCCGCTGCCGGCGGGCGGGGGACCGGCCGCGGGGGTCCCGTTCATACCGGCCGCCACCTCCTCCAGGTCGAGGAGGTGGCTCACGCTGAAGTTTTTCCGGCTTTGAGCGTTTTCGGGCGGCTCCGGGCCGCGCACGGCGCCGGGGGCGAACGGCTTGTCCATGGCAAAGGCTGGCGCCGAGTCCATGGCTCCCACCCCCAGCCCGCAGCCCACCCCGAGGTGCCGGGCCGCTCCCCGGCCCCCTTCCCCTTCCCCACCCACCCCCCCTCCAAAAAAAAGGAGAAAAAAATTAAAATAATTATAATTATTTTTTTTTAAATAGGGGGGGGAAAAAAAAATATCACAGCTGCCCTGAGTCCGGCTCCCTCCCCAGCCCCTGTTCCGCCTTGTGCTGACGTCTGGGGAAAAAAACCACGCTCCCAGCCCAAACTTTCTTCCCCTGCTCTTTGCTCTGGAGCTGTTCAAACAAACGCCCCTGCTCTGAGCCGAGCGGGGCGGCCCCTCGCCCCCCCGGCCCTGCGACCTGCCCCCCTGCCAGGGACCGAGCCCCGCCGGCAGCCAAGCCGCGGAAAGGGGGGCACAGAGGGGGGGAGACCCGCTTGCCCCCCTCCTTCTCTCCCCCCGTTATCCCATCCACACCACCCCTCCCAGCCCTGTTTTAAGTGCTTCTATCAACAAGTGTAAGTGGCTGCGCTCCGTGGGGAGGGATGGGGTGGGCCGGGAGGGGGGCTGGAGGGAAAGGTGACCCGCAGGTTAGCGGGGGACACGGCCCCCCTCCACCTCCAACCACCCCCCTCCTCCGGTCCCCATCAACCCCGGAGCAAGGTCACCTCTCCTGGGAAAAGCCTGGCTCTCTCGCCTTAATGAGATAATTACGTCCTGCACCACAGTTAAAAACTCATAGGCTGCTTCCCTTGGGGTTAGAAAGAAACCTCCCTAATGAAAACCAGCCACCGGGAAAAAAGGAGTTTTTCCTCTTTAAAATTATATATATTTATATATATATACACATACACACAGATATGCAGGGAGGAGGCAGTGGGAGGGAGGGAGGGAGGGAGAGGGGCAGAGCCCGGGGCTGGTTGCTGGTGTCCGGAGAGGGCTGGGCTCGGGGAGATGAGCAGAAATCGAAGAGGTTAAACAATTATTCCTTCCCCTCGATTCCAGCCGCTCTCCTGCCCTGCCGCTCCGGGGATACAGGGACAGGGTTCCGCAGGGTTCCACGCGAAACCTCCAAGCGAGACCGGCCGGCTCTGAGCTCATAAACATCCCTGCTCCAGCACGGCCGAGGGAGGCAAACCCCTGGCTGAGTTATTTTAACATTTGTCGAAAGCTTTTCTTGCGCTCCCTTCCCCTTCAAGTCGGAGGCGTGCAGATTTTTAAGCCAGCCAGTGCTGCCAAATCTGATCTTCCTGACGGGGAAGCGGCTTCCCAGAGCTCTCCAGCTTGGAAGGGGTGTAGCTGAAGGCAGATTCTGGCTCTCTCCAGCTCTGCAGGGGGCTCCTCCAGTGTGCAAACAAGCCAGCCCAACCTCCCTTCCCCCTCTTTTTTTTTTTTTTTTTTTTTTTTTTTTTTGGGGGGGGGGGGGGGTGGTCCATTTATTGGTTCTGTCGGTCCAATTCGCTGGCCCTAGGGGCTCTTTGGGAGTCAGCTCTGGCGTCTGGCTCTGTCCCCTCGGCTGTGTAAATCACGGGCTGGTGTCACACTGCTCTGCTTCCCTGCGGGATGCTCCCAAAGGGGAGTTTTGGCCCTGCCCAGCTCCCAGCTGGACACGTCCCCTGTCCCCCCGTGCCGGGGCAGTGCTGTGCACGCAGTTATGCACTCTGTTTATTTTAGAATACGAATAAATTGCCACCAGCCCTCCCGGCTGCTCCATGCTCAGGGAGGGGATGGCTCCATCACCCCTGGGACCACCAGGCTCTGGGGGACCCAGCACAGCTTCGTGCCATCCTTCCTTGTCCAGGTACCTGCTTGATCCCACCGTGACTGCAGGGACAGACCATTCCCAGGGTGGAAAAACCCTTCCCACGTCCAGGAAAAACTGCTCCAGGATCAGCCCTGACAGGAGCCATCAGCACTGGGCACTGGTTGTTTTGGGGGGCCCGGGGCAGTGAGGACCCCCATCCCTGCCAGCATCCCCCTCTTGGCTCCAGAGCTGCGAACATCTTGCTGTGATTATTTTGGGGGCGGCTGCTCTTGGCCCATGGAGGGGCGAGGGCAGGAGCGGGGGATGGAGCAGCCCCATCCCCGTTTATAACCCTCTTCCTCCTCCTTGTTTAGGGCCAGACTTTTATTCTTGAACTGTCTGGCTTTTCCAGGGGAGACGGCTTTCCCTCAGTCCGTGGCATTAAATAATTAAATGGAGGGAATAATCGTCGGTGAAACCCCCTTGGGTTCGCACTTCCTCGGGCCCTGTGATTGCTGATATTTTTTTGGTTGAAATATGACCTTTTTTATGATCAAAGGGGATCAGAGTTCCAAAGGAAAGTTTAAAAAAAAAAAAAGAAAAGAAAAAAAGGAAAAAAAAAAAGGAGGGCAAGCATTTTCTTTTTTTCCCAGTCCTAGTGGTCTGGTAAAGTTTCTTTAGACATGCAAAGATTTACACACCTTTCTGCAGGGTGCCTTAAATTACCCTCCAACTCTTTACACATTTCCATGAGCAGAGCAAGAACAGTAAGTCATTGAGAAATTAACTGGCCTTTCAGTAATATCCCCTGTCGGCCTTTCAGAAGGAGAATGTCTAATGACTTTTTTGAAGTAGAGGTCAGGGTTTGCTTTTTTTAAATAAAACAATCTGTATTAATGCAATTTCCTTTTTAGCTGTAGGATTTGCCCTTTTTTTTTCCTCAGCATCGTTTTTTTCCAACGCCACCATCCACACGAGGCATCTGAAGCAAGACCTGGTTGTTTGAAACACACACTCCTGGTGTTCCCTAACCCGCTTGTGCAAGCTCTTCTCTTTTTTTTTTTAATTTTTTTTTTTAATTTTTTTGTGTTTTAAAATGGACTTCGAAGCTGGCAAGGTGATTTATAGCTTTGGGCAAAATGTGGGTGAGACAAAGCTGAGCAGGTTTATTTTACCTGACACCAGGCACCTGGGTTTTGCTGAGCCGGGTGTGAGCTCTGAGTCTGGCTTTGCTGGTCCAGAGCTGCTGGGCTGATGAACCAGAGGCATTAAATTGGCAGGGCTGTGCTGGGCTCCTCAGGGTGAGGATATGTCTGGCCAGAGCCTGCCAGGTTTGCAGCCCTCGGGATGAATGTGTTTCTGTTTGCCAGTCCTTTATCTTCCTCTCAAAAAAAAAAAAAAAATTTAAAATATTATATTTTTTGTTAATCTCACTTTGTGTTTTCCTAGGTGTTTCCTGATATTTCTCTCACGCTGTGCTAACACCTTGTGCTTCCATAGTGCTCAGCATGGCAGGGATCTGGACGTGCTCTGCCAGCCCCAGCCCCCTCCTCACCCCAAAACCTTGGGCTGGGGCAGTGCAGCCTCCTGGGAGCGCTGCCTGGGGTGGTGCTGCTCCCTGTGGTACCCAGGTGTTCCTTCCTAACATTCCCAAAATCTTGTGGATGTTCTGGTGCAGAGAAGTTGGGCTGGCTCATCCACAGCTGATTTTTTTTCTGATTATGGAGTTGCACCTCTGCTGTACCAAGGAGGATGTTTGGAGTAAGGAGGTGGGAAGGAGTAGAGTGTGGGGGATGGTGGGGGGTCGGCAGTGCCTGGCCAGGACCGAAAATCGGCTCTTGGGGTGGGTGGGTGCCCAGCCCCGTGTCCTGCCCAGGCTGGGGATCAGAGCACCCCCTCCACCCCCAGAGCATCGAGCAGGGGACAGGGCAGTGCCACCCACAGGGGTGACAGCCAGGGGTAGCTGCTGGAGGAGTCCCCATGCCCAGCCCTGTCCTTCCCAGCAGGAATGGTATTTCTGTATTTACTGAGCAACTCCTCTTTCTCCTCCATCCCCACCAGACCCCAAAAGTGCAGCATGCCCTGTGCTGGCTCCTCTCCCTCTCCTCTCCCCTCCAGCCCTCACAACTCCCCCCATTGCCTCCCAGCTCCCTGTTTTTGTGGTCAATGCCATTATAAAACACCCCAGCCAGCCCCTTGGTGAAGCTTTTTCTCCCAGCTTTCTTATTCCCTCTCTTTCTGCCTCTCTTTTGCTCTTTCTTTTTCTCCCTGCCAGGAATCCCAGTAGTCCCAGATGAACCAATACTCCGTGGCTCTGCTATTTCCCTTTTATTCCCCCCCTCCTTCAACAGTGAGATGGGAAAAGAGTGAACTAAAAAAAAGAGGGGAAAAAAAAGAGAGAGAGAAAAAAAAAAAGAGAAAGAAAGAAAGAAAAAAATCAAAGCGGCACATATTGGATCCAGATGTGCTTACAGCCCTTTCCAGCAATTTAATTAAATTCCCCCAGACAGCCAGGAGGATTTCTTAATGATCAAATTTCCCTGGCTTTCCTCCTAAAATGCCCCTCTTTCTTCGGCTGGCTGTTGCTGTGTCTCCCTGATGGATGGCCAACTCGCATTCTTCCGAGTCCGCCCCGCCAAGGCCATGGGGAGGAAGGGGCAGAGCCCGGCGCTGTTATTCCAGCCAGGCACTCCAACACCCCATCCAGCCATGGGGCCAGAAATGGCCCTGCTTGCCAAATTCCTGCTCCCAGGAAATGTGGGGATGGGGAATCACCTCCCTGGGGTCTGTGTCTTGTGGTGTGCTCATGGCAGGGATACTCCAGGGAGGAACCCCTGTGTGTGTGGACTCACTGTGCTGGTGACAACGGAAGGGCTCAGCCCGTGGGTCTCCTGGTTTGTCACCTCCCAGGGCTGGTTTGGAGCCAGGTTTGGTCCCACACTGCATCCCCAAAGCCTCCTTTCAACGTGGGGGTTACCAGGGTGGGGGCAAAGCCTCTTGGGGCTCCTGAAAAGGCTCATTTGGGCTGGCACTGCCTTTGGGGCAGCCCGGTGTCCCCCCTCATCCTCAGGGACAGCACAGCTGGGGTCAGAGGTGGCAATGGAGTGACCCTGCCTTGCCAGCCCTCCTCTCCCAGCCAACAGCAGGAACGCAGCAGTGATTTCTCCCCAGAATGGTGTCTGTGGAGGGCTGGACCCTGCACGGTCCCCACCAGTGTCACACAGACAGGGATGGGGTTTGTGTCTGGTGCTGTCGCTGTAATTGTGGAGGCTCCAGGGTTTTCCTGGACTATGGAGGGTTTGGGCTTTACTGGGAACGCAGAAGGCCCAGGGTCTGGTGTTACCTGGTGGCAGCAGGAGGCTCTGGGACTGGAATGAGGGTCTCAACTGCCCAGCCCACCCGGAGTGGGGTCCCCACAGCCCACTCTGGTTTGAAGCCAGCTCAGCCCTCTATGCAGAGGGACAAATCCCCACCGGCACTCGCCTTTCCTTGCTGCTTTCCCCTCTGCTCCATACCCAGGCTTGGATGGGGTTATTTCCACCCCTACTCGGGCAAACACGGGGATGACACCCCCAAACCCCACCCAGGGGGGCTGGCTGCTGGGCTGCAAGGGGGGGCTGCCCATCCAAGTGCCACTGCACAGCACCAAATCCCGGTGGCACCAGGGCCACCAGCCACCCTGCAAAGAGCCCTGCTCGGGATCCAGGAGCTGCAAGCACTGGGGTCCCCCACCCCGGCACCCCACTCTGTGCGGGGAAAGGAAGGGTGGGAAACGGGGGGGACTGTGACAGCATGTCAGAAAAATGCCCAGCCGGCGTGGCCTCCTCGCCCCCTCTGCCCCGCGGCCACGGCCGCCTGCTGCAATCTGGAAGCGCTCCACCGGAATAAAATAAATACGTAAATAGGAAACCCAAGGCGGCTTCAGTTATTGCCGCTCTCCAGAGCTCCCCGCTCTGGCAGATTCCACCAGAATAATAATAAAAATAATGATGATTATGATAATAGTACCAATAAATCCTGGGTTAATGTTTCTCCTGGTAGCTCTTCCAGCAGGGGAGGGTCCAGGCGCTGTGGGCAACAGCACCAGGGTCACCTCGAGCCCCGGGGAGGCAGCGGCCACTGGGTGCCACCCCCCAGCATACCCACCCCGGCCTGGGGGGGTCCTCCAGAGGGAGGGGGGGACAGCCGGGGAAAAGGGGGACACCCAGGCTGGGCGACACCCATGGAAGGGGGGACACATGGGGAGGGGGGGACATTCGGGGCAGGAGGGAGTTGGACACCGGGGGATACTCGGGGGGTGACACTCGTGAGAGAGGGCACTCCACCCGGGGGAGAAAAGAGGGGGAAGGACACCGGGGGGTGCCGGGGACAGAGCGGGGGGGACACTGGGGGCGCCGGGGAC